AGCTTGTCGTCCACAGGGAGCCGATAGCCATCGAAGTCCTCGTCACGCGCGGGGACGCAGTCGTCCACCGCCAGGTCGTGAGGGCCCGTCCCGAAGGCGAGCGCCGCGTAGCCGTGCGCCACACGGTTGGTAACCAGGCAGGGAAACCCGATCGTCTTGAGCGTGCTCTTGGAGTGCGCACACATGCGCCTGAGAGAGTCGAACAAGTCCTTCCCCGTGATCCCCTCGCAGGCCTCAACCACGAAGGTGTTGCATCCCCGGGCTATGTAAAGATCAAGTTCCTCGTCCCGACCGATCCCTGCCCTGGTGCCCCGGGCCTTCTTGTCGCCCTCGGTGGCCCGCGCCTGCCGCTCGGCGGCGAGGACGTGGCGTTCGGTGAGGCGGTTCTGGCGATCCAGGCGCTCGATGATCTGGGCTTCGGCCTCGGCTGTAAGCCCGCCCAGGGCGCCCGCCGCCCCGGCGTCGTCTGGACCCCCAGCTCGCTCCCCACCCAGGCCGCCCCCGTGGGGCGTCTGGCCAGTGAGGTGGCCAAGGACCGAGGCCCCGTCGAGGAGCGGATTGGCCCCACGAGCGGCCCCCCCGCGTCCATCGCGTGCCAGCAGGTCCCGATCACCCAGCAAGCCCCGTCGTGGGCCCGTGGGTTGGGTGGGGGGCATGGCCCCGAAGAGCTCGCGTCGGGGCCCCTGCTTCGGGCTGGGATCCCGTCCCCGCGCCGAGCGACTCCGCGACCCCTCGCGTGAGAGGCTGCCCTGCAGGGGAACCTCGTCGGCGGCCGCAGCACGCCCCCGCGCGCGCGCTTCCAGCTGCGCATCCTCCAAATCCGCGAGGGCGCGCTCCAGATCGGACCCCAACGGGCCCGCCGCTGCCACCTGTGCGACCCTCCGCCGTAGCTGCCGTTCCGCCTGATCAAGCGGAACCCCGAGCAGGTCCGCGGCCATACCTAATGCACCGAGGGCCGCCGCTTGGCCCCCCCGTCCTTTGAGATCCTCGGCTCGCAAGGAATCCATGAACATTTCGAGGGGGTCGGGCTCCTCAGCACCCTCGCTCACGCCGGCGGCGGCCGCCGCCAAGCGCGACGGTGCCGCCACGGGGGCTGGGCGGGGCAAGCCCTCCATCCCGGGCGCAGGCTGCGCCCCCTGCGCGCCGCCCCGCCGATGGTGGCCGAGTGTGCGCACCGGGTCGTGCTGCAGCTGCTGGCGCTCCGTGTTCGTCAGGTAGCGCCGCCTCCAGCCGCTCGCGCTTTCCACGTCCACACCGCCCCACTGCTCCTGGCGTAACATCGCCAGCAGATCCTGCGGGATGTGGTGGGCGATGACACGCAACCCCACTTCCCGCGCCCCTTGGGGGACCTCGTACAGCAGCCGATTGATCCAATCTATCGGGTAGCGCCCGTCCTCCAGCGGAGGGGGGTGCCGTACGACCTCGCTGGCTGGGACCTCCACCCTGGCGCCCTCGAGGCTAGTCCCGATGATAAGTCGGGCGTCCCCGCCAGTGCCCCGTACGTCGAGCCCCTCGCATTCTCCCAATAGAATAAACCAAGGACTCGCCGGGGGCGCGCCGCACGCCTCCTCGGCTCCCCGAGGGTCGCCCGGGAGTATCGGGCAGACCTTCACGAGTAAGGGCTCCTGAAGCCACCCGTGATGGGCGATCCGATCGCCCGGGGGGCTCCGCGGTCGGCAGACCGTGAGCGTCCGCTGGCCCTTGCTTCCGCGGAGCGTGTGCGACGCGGCTGCGGCCCAGAGGCTAGGGCCTGCGCCCCCGAGGGCCCCACATCGACAGATGGGGCCACGGCGGGCGGTGGCGGTGCAGCGGGGGGGGGTAGAGGCGGGGGGTAGACCGGCCCGGGCGCTATGCCAACCCCATCGGCAGCGTGCGCGGTCCAATCGCGCGCCCTGGCGGGGCTTGGAGCCTGCGACCGCATGCGGCGGCGCAGGCCCCCGAGAATCCCAGGTTGGACCGTCGCTTCGACGCGCACGGTGTGACCCTCGTCCCGTCGGAGATGTTCCCCGCACATCGGGCCCCCCCCGCAGCTACCCTTCGCCATGCGGAGACAAGTGGGGAGGCTGCACTTGCGGCCGATCAGGGTAGACCGATACTTCTGCGCATGGTGGGCGCAGAGGTGCACCTGTGCATTGAGACAATGCCCCGGCCGGGGGACGTCCGACACCTCCGCGCCCTCCTGTAGCAGAACAGTAGCCTCCTGCATCCCTCGGTCGCCGCACCCCTCCGGCTGGAGGGGGCGTGCGCCACCCGCGAGCTGCACCCCAACTTGTGCGGCTTGGCAGGGGCGCTCCTCCGCCTCCACCTCGCTCTCCGAATCGATGTCCAGGCGGCGATAGCCCGTGGCGTCGGTGATGTAGCGGGGCTCCGGCCGGCCCCGGCACAGCCATCCGAGAACCGACCAGGGTGAGCGAAGCAGCCACTTGACGACCCCGAATACCTTCCGGAGTCCCACGCCGACTGCCCGGCAGGCCGTGGCCTTTCCGTGCTCAGCCAAGTCCACGATCTGTGTGTGGTCAATGGCCGCGTATTGGTCGACATGCATGGGATGCGCCACTGGACAGGAGGCGCACTCGACGGCACGACATAGATGCACGTTCCCTGTCTCCTCGAGGTTCAGCCGCCACTTGCGACTGGTGCACCCCAGGACCTGCCCGATCTTGATGTTGAGCCCGTGGCGGTCCAGTCGGTACCGGTCCGCGAAGTTGCAGCTGATGCGAGCCACCTGCCCGTGCTTGCGCAGAAGCACGTGGTTGCACGCCCGATTGGTCCCTCGGCCGCGGACCCCCTTTGTGTAGAACTCCGTCTCCACCACGCCGCCCAAGCCCGGCCCGCGCCAGCGCACCAGCAAGGGAGTCGGAGGGGGTGGGGGAAGATGGGCGCCGGGCCCATCGCCTCCGCGTCGCTGGCAGCACCGGGTAATCTGGTACCACGCCCAGCGGAGTCCCCCGGCTGCCCACAGCATAGGCTGGGCTGCGGTGTTGACGATGAAGGCCAGGGCACCCAACACGAACGTGAAGATGCCTAGGGCAAAGCATAGGACCGCGGTCTCCCACCAGTACCCAAGCATCTTAACGCCCAGGCGATCGACGGCGGATCCAATCCATCCGCCACTCGTGCGGATCGTGCCCGGGTGGTCGGGGGAGCTTACCCACGCTCCGTAGCCCACGAACTCGAAGACCCAGGCTGCGAACCCCCAACCGGGACCTGGCCCCGCCTCCGGGGGCGGGGTAGGTGGCGGCGGCGGCGGTGGGGGTACGTTCCGGCCAGCCCACCAATGGGGCAGGTGCGGGACCCAACCACTCCACCCCCAATACCCGTCCAGCCCGCGCGGCAGGTCAGGCTCACCGTCGCCCGTCCGGTTTCCCGGGGCGGACGGCTGCCCAGGCGCGCCCGTGGGTTCGTTGTTACCTCCGTATGCCGGCGTAGCTGGGCTGCCCGTGGGCTCGCCCTCGCCTACGCGCCCGATGCCCGCGGTCGTGGTCGTTGTAGTCGACCCTGACCGCGGCGGCGGAGGGACGCCCGGCGTCCCCGGGGGCTTGGCCTGCGGCCCTCGCCCCTTTCCCCCTGCAGGCGCGGGCTTGGCGGGCGGTCCTCGCCCCTTGCCTCGCCCCCCACCGCCTGCCGGCAGCGCTGTCGGCCCGGGCAGGGCTGGCGGCGTCGGCGCTGGGACCTCCTGTCCCCCGCGCCCGAACGGCAGCCAGCTAAGTGCCCCTTGGACCGTGAGAGCGCCGCCCGTAACCAAGATCATCAGGTGCGCCCCCAGGAAGCCCACAGCCATGGCACCACAGGCGCGCTACCTGGTCCGCGGACTAGCACGGCTGTGGTTATGGCCGCCCCGCGTCCCCCTGGAACACCCGCGCGTCGGCCAGAGCCGAACGCTACGGACCCAAAATGGCTACCTGAGCCCACACCCCCACCCACTTAACCTGCAGTCTACAACCAATCAGACTATACAATAGAACTCCTACACCCATGATCATAAAATGACTGTTTCTTGGTCAACGATGCCTTGGTGTATTCACTAAGCGTTAAGTTTTCGTCATTTTGATTAGGTCATCCTCCTCGTCGTCGGGCAGCGTCCCCTCCAAGGTTTCCAACTCGTTTTTCAAAGCTAGATAAATGTTCGAAACCGTGCGTGGGCAAACGCATTATGTAGCGACCGGCTCCATTATCTCAACTTGGTCCTGTCGCCTGAAAGCGTTGTTAACCACTGAACAGCCTTGTCGTCGCTCACGGGTTTGTTTCCGTTTCCTCCTGCGCTGGCGTTTCCAGCCGACGGCATTGCCACGGCGATCTTGGTAACATGTCGCCCACGTTCTCGCAACCTGCATCGCGAAAATATGCGAACTGGTTTGTGCCTGGATTGTACCAGGCTTCACGTACTTTGGGTAACGATACGTTGTAGCCCGGGTCGTTGTTGGGGTCGCTGCAGCGGCCGCCGCTGCCATATCTGCTCTGGAATCGGGCTCCGCTAACATGAAGATCTGGTAGGAGGCTTTCTTCCTTAAAAGGCAAAATGAACTTGGACCAAACGCCAGCGGGGCGAGCTCCGTACCACAAGATCCGTAACTGCTGAACAAACGCACCCTAGTCGCAAAGTCGAAACGCTATGTAGAAACACCTCTTCCTCCTCCTCCTCCTCCTCCTCCTCCTCCTCCTCCAACTCCTCCTCCTCCTCCTCCTCCTCCTCGCCTCCTCCTCTCCTCCTCCTCCTCCTCCTCGCCTCCTCCTCCTCCTCCTCCTCTCCTCCTCATCCTCATCCTCATCCTCATCCTCCTCCTCCTCCTCCTCCTCCTCCTTCTCCTCCTCCTCCTCCTCCTCCTGCTCTTCCTCCTCCTCCTCTTGCTCTTCCTCCTCCTCCTCCTCCTCCTCATCATCCTCCTCCTCATCCTCCTCCTCCTGTTCCTCCTCCTGTTCCTCCCTATTATCCTCCTCTTCCTGCTCGTTCATTATTCCTCGTTCGTGCCTCCTCCGCCGCGGGGATCGCCCGGCCCTGCCTGGTGAGACGCAGCTCGACTCCACCGACGCCACGGAGCACGGCGAAGCTAGCGCGTCTGGGGGGGGGGGGGGACGGAACGGATTCCTCCCAGGAGGGCCTCCTCCTGGGAGAGACGGAAAGGGAAGGGGGAGCGCCTCCTCCCGGGAAGGGGGGGACGAGGGTTGTTCTCCTGCCGGGAGGGGGCGGAAAAGAGGAGGAAGAGGAGGAAGAGGAGGACGAGGAGGAAGAGGAGGAAGAGGAGGACCTCCATAAACCCAAATCATGAACGACGTTGCAATTAAAACATCCCTCCGCGTTCCCTCCTCATAGGTTCCTGTACAGATACACTATCACTGCTGGAAGAGCTCAGTTGGAAGACAACGTCCGAAAATCTTCGATCGCGCCGAACCTGGGACGTCAGCGCCGCGAATCAGCGTTGCCGTTGCGACCGGACGATCCGCAATCGTGCGAAAACACCGCTTCTGGACGCCAGCGCCGCGGATCAACGTGGCGGTCGCGCCCCGGCAATCTCAGATCGTGCCCAAACGTCTGTGCTGAAAGCTAGCCCTGAGACCCCCAGAAGCTGCTGAAAAACTGGTAGGACGAATGTGCGCGGCGCCGAGGCGAAGGCCGAATTTTGCAAAAGAACGGCCCTCTATCCGCGAAGCTCCTGCAAGCCTTTGAAACCAAAGTTCGCGGCGCAAAGGCGAAAACGACATTTTGACAAAGAGCCGCCCTCAATCCGTGAAACTATTGCGAAACCTTTAAAACGAATGCGTGCGGCGCTAAAGCGAGAGCCACATGCTGCAAACGCCGTGCGCTCCATCCGCGAAGCTGTTGCAAGCTGCAAGTTGCAGGAACATCAGGGGTGAAAAAGTGTTGAACAAGAACGCCTGGCCTGCCGCGCCGACCCGTCTCGGGGTGCGACTGGGAGGAGTTGTTCACAAGGAAGACGGACGGAGGAGAAACCGGAAGAGGAAGATGAGGGGAGGGGGGGAAGGGGAAGCCTCGAGGGAGAGAAGGGGGAATGGAAGGGGGGAGAGACGGGGGCGGAGAGGAAGAACCTCGAACGCGCCGGGCGGGGGCGGAGCGGGGAAGGGGGGCGAGGGAAGAGCGGGAAGGAAGTGGAAAGGGGAAGGCAAGGCAAATGCCGCTGCATTTGCTGGTCGAACCATCGAGTTTTTGCATTCGGATGGATGAAAATACGTTTCCTACACGAGGTTGGGAACCTGGGCCCACTGAAACCTCCAGGGGCGGCTCTGCTAGGCGCTCGCGCCCGCGTCCCTGCACTCTTCCCCGCCGGCGCGGACGCCGTGCGTTACCGCGCCAGGCCCCCGCGCGCCTCGCAGTCGGTCGCCGCTAATCCCTTGACGCCGATCGCCATCCGGAGCGCCCCGGATCGGCGGCACTGGCCGGAGGCCACTACAAGAAATAGACACAAATAACCGGATTCCCCATATTTTCCTATATTTTCTGGGTCTCCCCCCACTTCCCATATTTTCCCATATTTTCTGGGGAATCGACGATTGATTGTGTCTGTGTGTTTTGTCCCTCCTGAGTGGTGGCTCCTACCACGTGGAATGTGATGTGCGCCAACAAGCTAGTGCGACACCTCCGGGCGACAGCGTCTCGAGGAATCACAGCGCGGTCCCTCAGTCCTGAAGGCATGGCTTTCGTGACGTATTCGGACGCGGGGGGAGTCAGTGAAGGGGCCCTTGGACACACAAATAAGTACACACAAACAATGGGATTCCTTGTATTTTCCAATATTTTCTGGGTTTTTGTCTTCCCCACCACTCCCCATCTTCCCATATTTTCCTGGGAGTCGACGATTGATTGTGTCTGTGTGTCTTTCCCCTCCTGAGTCAGGGCTAATGCTAGGATGGACGACGCCAGCGGACTGCCCGAGGATCCGACCCAGGAAGTCTGGACGATTCTAGCCGCCGACACGGATTTGTCTCGGAATAGGTCAGTCGGGGCGTCCATCCTCGGATGGAGGAGCAACAAGTTAAGGAGGAAGGTTGCGTCCACCCTGGCGGGGAAGATTCTCTCCCTTTCCGCAGCTGTTGCCGAAGTCGAGTACGCCCAAGTTTTGTATCGTGACATCGTGTTTCACGATGTGGACGTCCCCGATTGCGTGAGAGCGTCAGGACCCTTCACCACGGTGCTGCGTTCTCAGTGTCAGCCGGGAAACGGACGTGAGCCCCAAATACACGTTGTGGATGCCAAGTCGGTGCACGACACGATGATGAAAGAGGGGAACGCCTCGTCCAAGGATAGGCGTACCACTCTGGAGTTGGCCATCATTTCGGAAAGCCTGGCCAAGGCGAAGGGCGTGATCCGCTGGGTTCCTCACTCCAAGATGTTGGTGGATGCGTTGCCTAAAGACGACATAGGGATGTCCAATGCCGCCCTTTCCTAGGTCATGGCCCAGGGCAGACTCGTGCTGGTGGGTGAGCCGAAAGAATTGGAAGTTCGACGTACCACCCCCGCGCGCAAGGACCGATCACGTGCCGCCTCCGAGAGGATGCTGGAGTCCGAGAACGGGTCATCTAGGGTCTCCTCGTGTCCTGGTTTGGGCCTCCTCTCTCTCTCCCTCTGTCTCTTTGTACCTCTCTCTCTATTTCTTTCTCTCTCTCTCTCTCTCTCTCTGTGTATCTCTCGTGCAGAACTGTCGTGCCTGACCGGCACTGTTTGCTGACCTTCGTGCCTTAGGATGCCAAATCTACTAGAAACTTTGACGAGTGTGGAAACCCACCTCATTTCGTGTTTCTGGTGTATCACACAGGTTTAATGTTGCAGAGGAAGCTGTTTGCACTACAGGGGGGTGCAGAGAGATGTGACTGTTATCATTGTGGCTCAAAATGGAAAAGCCTCTTTGCTATCGGTCTGCCTGCCACAAGTTCTGTCTTCCTGCACGAGATCCTCGAGACTGACCTTCTTCGTATCCTGCCACTGCTGTGTGTGTCCTCGTCCATGGCCTGGACGAGACGGGGCCCCAAGTAGATGCGGTCCTCCTTCTTGGTTCCAAGGGCCCACACTTTTCATGTTCTCCTCAATACTTTCCATGCTCGAGGCGTCTCCATTCCAAATTGTTATCTCGACCCGTGCTGAATACTCCGTCGCCATAGTCCTGAACGATTTGGAGATGAGACTTGATACTCGAAGTGGGCTGCCACTTCCCGCTACCAATGTCAGTGGAGCGTGCTATTCCACGGATATCGGCCCTTAACTTCGAGAAAAGTTGTACTTGTTAACGTTTCGAGAGCTTCCTGACTTAGAACGCGGCGGGGATCTGGAGCCAGTCAGAGCGAAAGATAACAAGCACAAACAATACAAGATATCGAGAAGAAATCACTCGTACAGTAAAGTGTATGCAGTGGCCCCCCTGAGCTTCGGACCGAAGTGGGAATACTCACCACACGGCGAGCTGTCTGCTTTAGCCAGACAGGCCACGGAAAAGAGAAACGCAAGGGCACGTGCTGGCGGTTGCCTTATAGGGTCGCCGGACCAAACACAAGAAAACGATGTCACACCATGAAACCCACAGGGGGGGGAGGGGGGGGGAACGTTCGTTTCGGCTGTTCTCTCTGGGGTCGCGGACCCCCCCCCCCCCGGCGGCCCCAGGCACACGGCGCGGCTGCCCAGGGCGGGTCACGGGCAGTGGCCGCCAGTTCGCCATCACAACCCAACACGCTCCCCCGCCCTCTCGGTTCCTGCTGCCACCATCCCTGCTCCCTGTGGACCACCGCCCTGGCTGGCGAGCACACCTGGTAGCCACCATCGCCCCGCGCCCTGTCGACCGCCCTACCTGCTCCTGGCCGTTGTCCTCCCTCCCCCGCGCAGGCTCGCGGCTGCGAGCCCGACGAGCACCTCGCCCGCTTGGGCTGCTGCGTCGGCGAAAGTGGGGGGGCGTGAGGCTGAGCGGCGAGGAGGGCTTGCAAGAGAGAACGGGCAGGCAGCCTTCTTGCGTTGGCACACGTCTACTCAGGGCTGAACCTGAACGGTGTTTTTCGTTCTCGTTTTGCTCTCGCTTTCCATCGTGTTTGTCTCGAGTCCGCCTTTACCGCGGAACGAACTCGAAACGAAAACGGCCCCCGAAATCGCCAAAACACAGTTTAGGTCCAGCCCTGGGACAGTCAGCCTTCTTGAGCTGGCACACATCTAGTTCAGCGAGGCAGCACCCGAAGCAGGACACCAAGCAGAAGCCCAGACTTGGCAGCACTGGTCTGAAGGGCAGTGGCGTGAGGAGGGAGGAGATCGAGTCGTCACGACGCACCGGGCACCGTTGTACGCCCTGATGATTGCAACTTCTCATGCGACTCTGCCTGCCATCTCGCTGATTATTCGCCCTCCCCGCCTCAGGACACGTGTCTGGTGTGCCAGGCTCACTGACATCCAAACCCCTGAAAATCCAGGTGATGGTGGCCACCTCCTGCCCTAGTGAGAAAGCCGCGATGGTGATCCTCCGTCTTCGCCCCCCTCGAGCTTCCTCGTCCGCCTCCTCAGCCTACTCTTGCTCTTTCGTCCCCCTCCTCCTCCACTTCTCTCTTCGTCCTCCTCGTTTCCGTTTCCTCCTCCTCCACCTTCTCCTCGTCATCACCATCACCACCCACCACCACCACCACCATCATGATGATGAGAATTATCACCATCACCACCACCACCACCATCATCATCATCATCATTACCAGCACCACCAGCATCATCATCATCGTCACTATCCCCATCGTCATCATCGCCATCATCGTCGCCACCGTAACCATATCATCATTGTCCTCCTTCTCATCATCACCAACATCACCATCACCATCATCAGAATCATCATCATCATCATCATCATCATCATCATCATCATCATCATCATCATCATCATCATCATCATCATCATCATCATCATCATCACCCCCACCACCACCACCACCATCACCATCACCATCACCACCATCATCATCATCACCACCACGATCATCATCATCCATATTATCATCATCAGAATCATCATCAGCAGCAGCAGCAGCATCCTCATCACCATCATCATTAGCATCATCCTCCTCCTCCTCCTCCTCCTCCTCCTCCTCCTCCTCCTCCTCCTCTTGCTTCTCCTCCTCCTCCTCCTCCTTCTCCTCCTCCTCCTCCTACACGTTTTCCCCCCCTTCCCCTCCGACCCCTTCTGCTCTTCCCACTCCGCTCCTCCCCCTCATCGCCCCCCCTCCTCCTCCCTCCTGCTCCTCCTCCTCCATCCTCCTCCCCTCCCATCCTTCCGCCGCGAGCGGGTCGGTACGCTCAAGCCCGACGCCGCCCGCTGAACCTGAAGAGCATGTCGTGGACATCTCCCGCGAGCCTTTCCATCAGCCCCCCGAACGCCTCCGCGCCCGCCCGCCCCCCTGTGCGGCGGCGCCGCCTGCCCGGCTGGCCCCGGCCGCCGCGTCGGCGGCGCCTGCGGAGCAGCCGCCGGCGAGGGCGGCGGAGACGGTCTGCGCCCGCTCGGCGGTGTGGTCCTGCAGCCGCCTGCGGATGGCTCGCCCTCGCCTCCTTCATCTACTCATCCTGCCTTCTTGTCCTCGTCCTCCTTCTCATCGTCCTCCTTCCTCGTCCTGTCTCCTCGTCCTGCTTGTCCTCGTCCTCCTCCTAATCGTCCTCCCAATCGTCCTCCAAATCCTCCCCCTCTTCCTCCTCCAATTCCTCCTCCCCCTCCCTCTTCATCATGATCACCATCATATAGAATCATCAGTATCCTCCTCCTCCTCCTCCTCCTCCTCCTCCTCCTCCTCCTCCTCCTCCCCTCATCATCATCATCATCATCATCATCATCATCATCATCATCATCATCACCACCACCACCACCACCACCACCACCATCATCATCATCATCATCATCATCATCTCATTCATCAACATCATCATCATCATCATCATCATCATCATCATCATCATCATCATCATCATCATAATCATCATCATCATCATCATCATCATCATCATCAGCATCATCATCATCATCATCATCATCAGCATCAGCATCAGCATCATCATCATCAGTTTCAGCATCAGCATCAGCATCATCATCATCATCATCAGCATCAGCATCATCATCAGCATCATCACCACCATCATCATCATCATCATCATCTCATAATCATCATCATCATCATCACCATCAGCACACACAGCATCATCACTATGATCATCCGCATGATCATGGCCATCCTCATCACCATCATTAGCATCAACATCATCATCATCAGCATCATCATCATTATAATCATTAGAATCAGCATGATCATTGTCACCGTCACAACCCGTATCATCACCATAGTGCAAAGCAGAGCCACCATGATCGGCACGATAACCAAAAGCATCCTCATCGTCGTCATCAGAATCATCACCCTCACAATCCGCCGACACCTTGGGGTCTCTAGGCGTGTGAGATTTCCCCCCATAGAGTCCCCCCACTGGGCCAAACTGTTGTCTCCGTCGCTCCACCGCCGCTTCAGCACTTTGACATTGGGCGCTACTGTCAACGCGCGTAAACGGGAAGCGCTTCACAGCATTTCACGGCGCGGCACACTGTCAATGGGGCCCACGGCACCGCGGGCCAAGCTACCTGCGAGGCCATTTGACACTGGGCGCCACTGTCAACGCGCGTGAACGGGAAGCGCGTTACCGACATTGACAGCGCGGCGCACTTTCAATGGGGCCCGCAGACGGCATGGCCGCACAGGCCACCTTCGAGGCCATTAGACAGTGGGGCCCATTGCCAAAGGGCCCCATGTCCCCAGGGGGGCCCGACACATTTGACAGCGTGGCCAACTGTCAACCAGGGACCTGGGGGCAATTTGACTGTGAGGCCCACTGTCAAACAGGGAATTCCCATGTCACATGCCGCAACCTGCTCTGATGAAGAAGAACTCAAACGCGCCAAAACAGCATCTCGATTGAGAGTGACCCGAAATTCGCCGACCCCTTGGGGTTCATCGGCGCGTGAAATGTTTCCCCCTCCCCAAACCACTCCCCCGGGAACCCGGTCCGTTCGATTCGGATGGGGGGTCCCCCGGATTGTGGGTTAACGCACCGGGGGGGGCAAAGGGTTCCAATACAGGCAAAGAGGGCCCCAAGAGGCCTTTGGGGCGGTCGACGAGGGCCACGAGTCGGTGAAAGATCGATCCAAAATGCCAAACGGCCCAAGAAGCCCCCAAGACGCCCCAAGAACCCCCAAGCTTTCCCTGATGGCCTCCACAAGCAAAGACCGTCCAATTCCCTTTGGAAAACGCGCGCTGTTTCCTCCTGGGCGTTCACGACGTCCCAGAAGGCCCAAAGGGCTTTCAAGCCAAAAGGCCCCCAAGAGGGCTCCAAGACGACCCAAGAGGGCCCCAAGACGGCCCAAGAAGCCCCCAAAACGGCCAAGGAGGGCCCGAAGGCAGCCCCAAGAGGGGGCCCAGAGGGAAAACCCGAACGGACATGTCGAGTCATACACCCCAAGACGCCTCCGGGTTGCCCCAAGGAGCCCCCAACAGGTCACCCAGGGAGCCCAAAAATGGCTGCAAAAGAGCCCACGAGGGCCAGGAGGCTTCCAAGAGGTTCAAGAACTTCCTACAAAAACGCCCCGAAACGCCTCCCAGGAGACCCCATCTGCCACCGCAGACCCGCATCCCAGGCACGGTGACGGGACGTGCCGAAGGCCATTCAATAATCATTCGCCGGGTACTTCGACACATGCCCCCCGTCTGTAAACGTGGGTTCTCGCCCGTTGCCCCACGGGCGCCAGTTACGACGCGATGCACCCAACCAAGTTGATCAAGTGGCAGGAGAATCGGGGATGGACAGACCCCCCTTTAGTAAAACGTGGTTTAGTGAAAACGACCTGAGGCCCAAACCTGGCGGGCGCAAGCCTGGAAAATAACGGCCACGGCGCCCTCTCGAGAACCGAAAACGGACAATTCACTGATCGACGTGTCACTGCTGGGGTTTCTGTCCACCCCCGACCCAAATTTGCCAGGACAGTGACAGCGCGGGCACCGTTATGTCCTGTGCCAGCTGCATGGGATGCGCTCACGCGGCCCCGATTCACAAGACCACACCAGAAGGACGAGGCGCGAGGGCCCGGGCTCGAGGACACGGGGGCGGGAACGAAGGGCAGGAGAAGGACGCGCGGAGGGCCAAACCGTCAGCGCAGGCAGAAGTACCCATC